CTGACACCTACATCCCTCACGTCTTTTGTCACTTCCTCCAGCCATCTTTTTCTCGGTCGCCCTCTTCTTCTCTTTCCTCCTTCACCTTGTATCAGTATTCTTTTAACCCACCTTTCGCCGGACATCCTCGCTATGTGCCCCAACCATCTAGCTCTTTGCATTTTGACCACCTGAACAATGTTTGGGCTTTTATACAGCTCCTCTATTTCTTTATTTGTTCTTCTCCTGAATTCGTTTTGGACTTTAATTCCTCCAAAAATTTTCCTTAGTATCTTGAAAACATTCCCGCAGCCTTACTTCCTTTCGCTAACCTTTTTTCTATTTCCTTTTCTTCATCGCCCTTACACGTTAGTGTTACTCCTAGATATTCGACTTGTTCTACTCTCTCTATCGTATATCTCCTATTTGCAGTGCAACTAATATTTAAATTTGCTGGAAGTCCTCTGGTATTGTTTTTCATCACCATATATTTTGTTTTATTTTCATTGATTGCTAGGCCATATTCTCTTGCTTTTGCTTCCAACAACTTAAAAACCCTTGTTACTTCCTCCTCGGATCTCGCCATCAGCACAATGTCATCGGCATAAGCTAAACACTGGTGTCGGCTGCCATCGTCGACGTGTAATTAACTTTTTAAACGGCACTTTAATTCTTGTGTACGCTATCACTGGTCGGCGTAAACCAAGGCACTCGCATTGTGTATTACAATAAAAAATAATGTTGTAAAACATTATTTTTGTATAACTTGTTATTTTAGAGTCACCATATATTTTTTATATGACTGTGGTCGAAGCGCCGAACATTAAAAAAAAATATTGTTTCTAAAAAATAGAAATATGATTNCTTTTTTTTTTCTTCACTTCACTTTACACTTTATTATCTATTATTTTCTTTTCTAACATTCTACTGACAAATTTTATATTAATTTCCCTGAATTATTGTTTAATATTTTTATTTTAATTTACATTATCAAATTTTTTTAACTTAATATTGAATTTTTATCTGCCATCATCTTCACTCTGTCATTATTTGACATTTGTTAATTTTTACTTATAATATTTAAACTTCAAATTTTTTATTTATCTCAACAGGTTTATCTCAATATGTACTTTTCACATCAATTGAAGCTATAATAAGGCTAGAGAGTATATTCAGTTGGATATAATTTTGCATATTTTTTATTTTGTTAAAGCCTTTATATTATTGTAAAATGGAAGACAATAGCGGTATACAAAATAAATTAACTGTAATCGAAATAAAAAAAAAAATTGTTGGATTTTCCAACAATTTTATTTTGGTATACATAATAAATGTATTAACTGTAATCGAAATAAAAAAAAAATGTTGGATTTTCCAANATATTGTATCCCAATGTCACCTTGGAACAAATGGAACAAAATCAATTGCGCGTGCGCAAGCTAACAGCTGATCCAGTCAAGCAGAGGTTAAGTTCTACATTGTTCATGGGTGAATGATTCGTTTCTATATTTTAAAAATAATTATAAATAAATATTAAATGTGACCGAAGATTTTATTGTATGTTGAAAATTAAAAAGTAAAAAAATCATTATTGTGAAGATATTCGACATTACATATATGTACTTTTCACATCAATTGAAGCTATATTTAGGCTAGAGAGTATATTCAGTTGGATATAATTTTGCATATTTTTTATTTTGTTAAATCCTTTATATTATTGTAAAATGGAAGACAATAGCGGTATACAAAATAAATGTATTTACTGTAATCGAAATAAAAAAAAATTGTTGGATTTTACAACAATTTTATTTTGGTATACATAATAAATGCATTAACTGTAATCGAAATAAAAAAAAATTGTTGGATTTTCCAACAATTTTTTTTATTTCGATTACGTTAATACATTTATTTTGTATACCGCTATTATCTTCCATTTTACAATAATATAAAGGCTTTAACAAAATAAAAAATATGCAAAATTATATCCAACCGAATATTATACTCCCTAGCCTTATTATAGTTTCAATTGATGTGAAAAGTACATATATGTAATGTCGAATATTTTAACCAGTCTTCACAATAATGATTTTTTTAATTTTCAACATACAATAAAATCTTCGGTCACATATTTAATATTTATTTATAATTATTTTTAAAATATAGAAACGAATCATTCACCCATGAACAATGTAGAACTTAACCTCTGCTTGACTGGATCAGCTGTTAGCTTGCGCACGCGCAATTGATTTTGTTCCATTTGTTCCAAGGTGACATTGGGATACAATATTCGTACCATTGTGAGTCTACAGGCATACTATAAAGATTTAATTTTCAGACTAATTATGACAAAATCGGATACCGATATCTTTTTATATAACATCTGTAAGTGTAATACGTCAGTTAAAACTTACACAAATATTGCAACTTCACAAAGATCTCACACATCACTGTCGTGGTATATTCTAAAGTTCTAACAAGTATAAGTTCACAATACTGTACCTAGCAACATAAAATGAATATTTTGAATATGATCCATCCATCGCAGATCTATGTAATCTTGTAGCTTAAGACTCATTGATTATACGTGATTTTTTTGGTTAGTGTATCTCGAGAAATAGTCACAAAAAATCACCCTTCATTTTTTCAATTTTTTTGTCTCACTGTTTATTTAGTTGAAAAACTATGAAAAAAATATGCAATATAATTCTTATCAGTAGCTTCCATATGCCGTTGGATTTATTCAAATATCTATCATAGTTTAATAGAAAAATGATTTTGAAGTAAAGGGTTGCAACCCCAATTTTTTAAAAATGAGCAAAGATAGAGCTCTGATAATTGGTCAAAAGTTATTTCTATCAACAAGCAACACACTGAAGACACCATTGTTAAACAACACGCCAGTGCAGATTTCACGTGGAAACCCGGTGAGACCCTTTGTTTTATAGTTACAAAAAAATCTGGCACTGATAAATTCGGAGGCTTCCAATTCCATATTTAAATTTAAATTTAAAAATGTACGTATATTATTGTGTACAAAATTATAACCGCCGCTTTTCTTCTTCTTTTATTTTTTTGTATCATCATCAAAGAAACTAAGCACCCTCTTTATAAAATAACTTAATATAAGAACCGTAATTGAAAAGTAAATCGCGGATTAAGATCAGATTGCTGAAAAGTATGGAGAAGCGAATGAACGAATGGAGAAAAGGATTTCGCCTTGTAGAGAAGAGCGCACCGAACAGATATTACAGGTTGCAGCCACTTTTGTTCAAAATCTCTGCACTCGAGCGATAAGACGAAACATTATAGGTAGATTTAGATAGATTAAGATGGGAGTATTCCTTGCTCCTTATTGAACCAGAATCTATATCCCGTTTTTCTGTCGAGACTATCTCCACTATTCTTAATCAAGCTATTGTGGGGATTAAGCTGTTTAACAAACACAAATTTATTACACGGAAACTTAAAACAACCTCTACTAATTGCTACGTTAAATTTTAATTAACTCTCCAGTGAATTTGTGTTAAATAATCATTTCTCCTAATTCTCATTTCTTCTCCTTACGTTTATCTATTAAAAATACAAATGTAGGATTTTGTGTCAGTGTTTTAAACTAAGCAATAGCTATATATTTCAATACTCTGTAAAAAACAATGCTATACTTATAATAAATTTTATCAAAATATACAATATGTTTTGGATAGAAAAAGAACGAGATAAAGGATTTAGGAATTGTTAATGATAATAAATCAACTTTCAATAATCACATTAATTAAAATAATATATTAATAAATATAAATATTTTTAATGTTGTACTGTCGGTTCTCAGTTACTTAAATGAAATTTACACAAGGAATCTTAAATTATCAAACTATGTATCTCGGAAACCCTTGGAAACAGAGAGGTGATCATTTGTCACAGAAAAGGTAGAAATTCCTTCCTTTACGGCAGGAGACTTTTAGAAAAATCCAAAATTTCTATTTCCTTTAGACCTGCGACTATTTTTGTTCTTCTATTCGAATATATGTATAATCGCATAATGCCATTAGATTCCTCATTCTCTTTCGAATCCAATGATATATTATTTGTTATTATTTTGTTTTGAAACCGGAAAAGTCATCAGTGTGATTTTCCTTCAAGAATGTTTTACAATTTTTATTCAGTTCATTTCACATAGTTTATTCATTCTATTATTATACTTACTTCGTCATTGAGAATACGTCTGTTCAGAAAATAACGGAACCTTTTAAATTACGCGCTAATGGATATATTTAGGGACATACGGTTGGCAGTATTACGTTGCGCATAACCTCCTCTGTAACCATATCGACGTTCGCAAATAAGAACATCGTATCTCAATTTTTAGTAAAAATTAGTAAAGATTACTTTTCTATATAAGAATGCCTTCTTTTTCAGCTAAAACCATGTATTCCAATTTATTTTGAAAAATATATTCAGTTTTTGAAAAAGTATTTTTATCGTATCTATTTTGTATAGAAATTTAACCTAAATATTATCGTAACAACAGTTACAATTTTGCTTATACAGTTTAAAATAAACATATTAATCGTATGTAGAGTTGCTCCTGGATTATAGCAAACATGCTTTTTAAAGAACATCGTATTTTTATATACGATTATATTGAAGGTGTAACAATTATTACACCGTTTTATTGCAAGTGAACATAAGATGTTAATACTTTTTTGAGAAGTATGTGGTATTTTCATCTTAACTTAACATACGATGTTATTACTTTTCTATTACTGCCGGTGGTGAGTGTATACAACTCTGTATCTTTAGATATGATATACTAGGTTTCTTAGATATAGAGATAGTTACATCTCATCTCTACATAAGATATTAGTTACTTAAAAAATAGCAGATAGCTCCATCGTATCTTACTAAAGTTAATTTAAAAAGAAAAAATAATAGTAATTTTCACTATACGTTTATAAGAAATTGTTTCTGTACCTCATATTTAGACTGTAACAACCAAATTTCATATGGTAACTTTGAAAAGATGTGTTGCAATTAAGAGAAAACCTCTAGAACTTTAAACCTACTTTGTGAGAAACCAGTTTAAGTGTTACTGACGATTTTCGAAATGTGCCATTTTCTGAAACTACGATGCAACGTACTGTGGAAAACTCTCATGAAAACGTTTCAACTTTTGAAACAAGCTTACGGAGGAGATGCCCTTTGTGGTAGGTACGCAATGTTACGAATGGTTTTCACGATTTAAAAGTGGTCACCAGTCAATTGGACATGTCTCGACCAGGAAGGTCTTCGACTTCAACTGATGACACCTACTTTCAGAAAGTTAAATATCTGGTACGTGCAAATCGCCGATTGATTGTCAGAGAAATTGCAGAAAAGGTTAACATCTCAATTTGGGTAATGTCATGAAATTTTTACTGAAAAATTGGGCGTACATTAAGTTGCATCAAAATTTGTTCCTCTTTGATGACCGAACGATAAGAAGAAAATAGTGTGGATGTTTATCGGCAACTCCTTGAATAATCCAATGACGATAAAACATTCATACAAAGGATCATAACGGGACACAAAGGCTCGGTTTACGGCTACGACATTGAGACAAAAGTTCAATCATCACAATGGCTATGGA